GATGATAGGAGGACCAGATTTTGGTATGACAAATGAATCCCAAAGCTTGGCATCTTATCGGACCATGCTAATGGGCATATCCCAGAGGAGACTTCTGCTTAGGTTGTTGCGGATTACACTTTGTCTGAGGGGAACTGGGATTGGAACAAACTTTGCAGTCTTATCTCGGAGAGGGCCTGTAAGGGCATAGCAGGTATCATTCCCCCTACCCTTTGGGAGGAGAGGATACTGTAATATTGGCCAACTCTAAAGATGGTAGATTTTCTATTAAAAATGCTTACGCGTACCTCACTGGTCCCCACCTAAACAGCTCTGGTATCCCTTGGTCGCTAGTTTGGGATTGGACTGGGCCTAAGAGGATTAAAAACTTTCTTTGGTTGCTCATGGGAAATAAGCTCCTAAAGAATGCCCAGATATTTAACAGAAATTTGGGGGACTCGTCGGCTTGCCCCATGTGCAATCACCCTTGGGAGGAATGCCTCCATATTTTTAAATATTGTCCCTCTGCTATAGAAGTTTGGAACTCTATCTTTCCTAACCTAGGTAACCACTTTAGCAACTTCTCTAGTGGTAACCTGGTTGATTGGTTGTCCCACAACCTCTGTAGTGAGAATTCCTGACGATGCCCGCATGTTACACAGCTAGCTCTTTGGAACAACGTGTTGGTTGATTTGGAAATCTAGGAATGAGCTAGTGTTTAACAACAGACCGTTTGATCCCTCTAGTATTACCTGTTGTGCTCAGAACTTCGTCTTCTCTTTTCGCCAAGTTGATGCTACCTTGTCCTCGGCGGGGCTATCTCCTAATCCTAAAAGAGAGGCTCTTGTTTCCTGGAAGTTTTCGGAGGAAGGCTGGGTCAAGATTAACTCTGATAGTTCTAGCAGCCAGAATGGGGAAAAATCTGGCGGTGGGGGAGTCGCTAGGGATAGCGGAGGGCTCTGGTTGTTTGGTTTTAATAAAAATATAGGATCTAGTAACTCATTCAGAGCTGAGCTTTGGGGCATTCTTATAGCCCTGGAACTTGCTTGGGAGAGAAACCATCGTCAGGTTTGGATGGAATCTGATTCCACGGCGGCTCTCCAAGCCATCGAGAAAGGGTGTGATAGTTCTAACCCCAATGCTCCTCTTATCTCTAGGATTAAAGTCTTCAGGAACCGAGATTGGAGGATCATCTACTCCCATGTCCATCGTGAAGCGAACAGACTTGCTGATTAGCTAGCAACCCATACAGTCGACCACATCTGGGAGACCTAGATTTTCCTTGATCCTCCTTTGGATTGTAGGCAGTTAATTAGAGAAGATCTGATGGGAACAAGGTTCCCCAGGTTGATTCACCAGTAGGCGTTTTTTTGTGTGTGTTTTCTTTCTGCTTTCCCTTTGTTTCCAAAAAATATATACAGTTCTTTATTAAGGTTTAGTGACCAAATTAGTAATAACAAATTCTCTGACAACGTCCATATATGACTCGATGAATTTTCTCTGAGACAAATCAACAAATGTATTAATCATTATATCTAGATCATCATCATTAAAAACCTTTTATACCAATGTATTCAACACTTTTAGTGCAAGCTTGATATGCGTCTAACATATGGTGATTTCTAAGTAAAAGAAGCAAGGAATTAATCATAAATGTGTGAAAATAAGCTCATAAATGCAAGAAATATTGATTATTCCTTCTCAATCATTTTCTTGCTCAATTTATGCATTTTGATAGCAGGAAACACCAAAAAGAAGTGAAAGAGAGAAGTTGAAATTGCATAGTCTTGCGCAAAACGCACGAAAATGGCGCAATCCGCGTGATTTTGGAAAATTACTTTCTGTTTGTACGCGCGATCCGCGCAGATTTGGCGCTGATCGCGCAGGCGTCATGAATGCAGTCCTTGATTTGTGGAGTCGCGAATTTGGCACTGATCGCGAGGGCGTCATGAATGCATTCCTTGATTTGTGGAGTTTGATGAAAATGGAAATTTAATCAAATTAATTAGAGGATTATGACCTGATTGATTGGTGGAATTATGAGAAAAATAGAAATTTAATCAGAATTAATTAGAGGATTATGAGCTGATTGATTGGTGGAATTATGAGAAAAATGGAAATTTAATTAGAATTAATTCAAGGATTATGACCTGATTGAGTAGCTGGCTATATAAAGGAAGCAGAAACTCTAAAAGAGGATCATCTTTTGGCAAGGAGAAATTGGAGAGGAAGCTCTCGGTGACTGAAGATTCAAGACTTCTTCTTCTTCCGGTTTTACATTTTCATGAACTCTTTCTCATTATTTAAATTGTTAGACATGAATATGTCTGGCTAGTCTTTTATTATTGTGGTAAGGGTCACAACCCTTGATGTGAACCCCTTGTAGTTTGGTTAATTTTTATATTTAATTATTTCAATTGCATTTATTTTACCTTTTTCTTCATCTTCTAATTCTTCTAGAACTGGTCACTCTATTAGGATTGCGAGGGTTAGGGTTTTCAATAGGAATATTGGGATTCTAATTCCTGACAAAGGGTAAAATAACAGTTCATGTATGCACTAGGGATAGGCTACATGAACTACAAACGTGAAAAATTCACTGGGTTAAAGGATTAACTTGAAAAAGGATTTATAAGGTATTAGGATTCTAATAGGGTTAATAAAGTTAAGATCACTAAGGGATTATGGCTTAACTAATTAATTATTAGATGGTGAATTGTTTGATCAATTGGGTAATTAAATATAAACATTAATCAATATTACAAGGTGGGGATCGGAAAGGTGTTGGAGTCCTTTACTGCAATAGCTTTTTACAATATTTTTCTCAAAAACCTTTTATTTTAAATTCTTCAAATTTCTCTCTGAATTGTTCATAAATTATTGAATAGTTCACAATTGTTACAAACACCATTACTTTCAAACCAACTCTTGTTCATCCATTCTTAAAAGGAACAATTAATTGATATTCGACCCAATCCCTGTGGAGACGATACTTTACTTACTATTATATTACTTGTGCGATCGGTACACTTGCCGATTTTTCGCAACAAAGCTCTTGCCATTTTTTTACTGAATTTTACGAGAATTGGAATATAGGGAAGGGGATAGGGAGAAACTGAGTTATATGATGATTGATTGAATTCAGTGTGTGAGGAATAAGGGTGGTCATATAGAAGAGGGGAGAAAAGTAAGTGGAACTGACGACTCTGATTGCGCCATATAGCAACATCCTACTAGTCGTGGTAGGGGGTGTGCAACTTAATGATAGGTGCCACAAATGGTCAAGATTGTGCCACATTATACAATCTTGTGAGTTGCACCCACATACCCAACTCATGAGATGTGTCACATGATAATTGTGCATCATTCATTCACACTTAATTAATTATTTCTATAAATACTTTAGAAAATGCATTAGTTGGGTAATTTTTCTGAGAAAATTGCATTAAATAGGTCATTTTGCATTGTGATACGATATATGAAAATCAAATAATTATATCATCGTGTACTATTATATTATTAAAAGTTCAATTTTAATTTATGTTAGTTTATAAAAAAATTTATATATTCAATTGCATAGATATTATTATATTTTATCATATTCAATTATATTATGATTGCTAACTTAATAAAAAGTAGTCTATTTTTTTCTTCAGTTTTTTTTAAATAATACTAATTATTGGTTATCAGTGATTATTAATTTTTATTAACTCTTAATTTTTTTACTCATTTTCTTTGGGAGAAGGTTATACTTACAACCTATTTTCTTTACAACCTCTTACAACCATATATCTTAACCGTTGATTTCCGTCAATCAACGGTTAAGATTTTCGCAAATTAAATTTATTAATTAATTATTAAATCACAATAAATGTTAACCGTTGATTGGCGGAAATCAACGGTTAAGATATATGGTTGTAAGAGGTTGTAAAGAAAATAGGTTGTAAGTATAATCTTCCCATTTTCTTTGTATTAAAATAATTCGATAAGTTTATTTACAAAATTTATGTAATTAAATAATATGAAAGTATCAAAAAACAAAAAACTATAGGGACAATTTGATTATAATATTAATAAATTTATAATTTCTTTTCATTTAAATATTTTGATAAAAATATATATTCTTACACATTATTTTTAACAATTTCATAAATAAAAATGAAATTGTAATTTTCAAATGGGAAAAATAATTGTCATTTTAATTATGTTATTTAAGAGAGAGATAGATACAAAATAAAAAAAATTATTTAAAATTAAATTAAAACAAAATCATTCACTTTTTTCCCTGTAATTTTCATTCTTTGTGTCTATCTATTTCCTAAAATGACATAACATATCATTTAAAATAACAAACATCAAATCCTTTTCAAATATTGCACTTAAAAAAATTTCTAGTTTTAAAAAATAAATATTTTTTAAATGTTTATTTAAAAACTTACCTAAATGAGTTAATTATTATTATTTTTACAAAAAAATATAAAAGTTAGACTTTAAAAAGTATTAAAAAAAAGAAAAAACGTGAGTAATTAAAAAGTCAAGCAAATGACTATTAACTAAACCAGGAAGAACTCACACACAATAGCAAACTCATTAACCCGTGAAAAAAAAAAACTAACTAAATAAAGAAAAGAAAAAAATAGAAAAAGATGGACCACTAGAAATTGAGATAAACATGGAACACAATAATAATGGACACACACCCTCGTAGGGAAAGCCAAATACCCATATGTTTCTAATCTGTGTCCGATCTCTTTATTTCACAAACAAAGGTTTCGCAACAAGAGTGAAGCCTCCACGTGGCACAAGCACTCCTCTTCCACTGCACAGGAGAGGTTGGGGGTTAAGAAAGAATGGGTCTCAAGGGGTTTTTGGTGGGGAAGGTGACCTGCTATAGCCTGGAACTTTATACCTTTTTACTGGCTGGTCCGGTTGTGTGGTCAAAACCATGTGGATATAAAGGGTTTAAGGCCACTGTTGCGTGGTTTTTGTTTTTGGTATTGTTGGGTTTTTGTCCTTTTAAACTCTCCTATCTTCTTTTGTTTATAGATTCATTCCATCTCACAAAACAAGGAAAAGAAAAAAAAGGAAAAAGGAAAAAGGAAAATGAAATTTTTACATTCCTGAAAGAGAGAGAAACAGAGAAAGTTTAGGACTTTGGGGTCTTCAGTTCCTTAATTCCCTTAGATCTCTTGCATTTTCGAACAGGTTTCGGGGTTTTGATTTGCACCCAAGTTTGTATATTTCTCTGTCGGAAAATGTGTTTCCTCGGAAATTTCGTTACTTGATCATAATTTGGATTCCTCGGATCGTTGCTCGAATGTTGTTTTTTTTATGAGGTGAGTTGGTCTGGGAGGTTTTGTTGCATGTTAAAGGTTTTGAATTTCGGGTTTGCGTGTTGTTTTTTCTTCTCTTCTTCTCGCTGCGATCACATCATGGTTTTGGTTGAGATTGCTTGCTAACTCTGCATAGTTTTAGTTGAATTTCGGAGATGCAGAGAAAATAATTGTGGTAGCTTGTACGCGATTTTGTTTTAACTACTGAAGATTCTGTTTTTTCTTTTTTTGTTGAAAATTATGCGATTGAGTTGAGAATTGAGATCCGATCGTGGTAGCTAGGCTGTCTTGGTTGAATGGTACTGGTTTTAATATGAAAATTTTGATTTTTTTTTTTTTTTTGGGTTGTAGACTTGTTTTGTGTTGAGTTCATTTCCTTTGATTTGGACCGAAGTGCTGCACTTTAGAGAGCACACGAACTTTGAGAATCAGAAATGGTTTGTTTTGTGTTGATCTCGCACAATTAGCACTCAGCAACTGGGTGCAGCCTATAGCAGCTGTTTCTATCTTCTAGTTGTGATGATGTTGAGTTTTGTTATCCTTCTACCCTTTAACGTCTGTGTTTTTGTTTTTATTTTTGATCATGGATTTATATAAGATTCTTTTGTTTGCTGATATCTTGGGAACGACCATGGAATCGGAATTGTTTCCTGCAGTTCCATGGCAATCATCTGAATCCGTGTGATCAGTTTTTGGTTTCTATAACTGCTACGATCTGGATTCAACTTTCTATCCCTTGTATGTGCAGTCTGTTTGTTTATTGTTACGTCCAGTTCAGTGAAATTGAATCCATGAGTCAAATGGGTAGTTTTTGGAATTTTAAATCTGACTTTAATTGTTCTTTTTGTATTCATTTGGGGCAGAAATGGTACTATACTGTAACAGTTGGATGGATTTTATGACAGATTGGTTTTTCTGATGTCTTGCTTCTTTATTTTGTTATTTTTCACATTTATTCTGCTCGTCTTTCCATGTTGCTGTGAATTTACCTTTAGCCTCCATGTTGTATGATGGGCAAACAAAGAAATCGTACACGAGGTCTTAATTGTCTCCTATATAAATCCCTATGAATAGAAATTATCCCTGTTAATTGAAGCTTAGATTATTCAAGTTGCATTCCTTAGCAGTATGTCAAGAACAATAACTGCTGGCCTATATATATATATATTTTAAATTAAGTAACTGTGATTTGAAATAGTTGCTAATGTCTTATCACAGTGGTAGTGTGATATTGCTTTCCTAATTTGCAAAATCGAGCAAAAATGTGAAAATTAACTTGATATATGGGTCTTCCTTACAGTGACAAGATTCTGACGTGTTGATGCTTCTGGTTGTTTGATGAGCTATATATGTTTAAACTATGGTGTTGAAGAAGAGGGCAGATTACGGATTCAACGGCTTTCGTTTCCCAGTTATACCTCGAGCTCCTAGATCTGCAAGAGTAAGTACTAGCTGCAATTATGGTAATTGTTTTATGTTTTCCATTTTTGTGCATTGAACCCTATTTTTATACTTGTAAGTTTGACAATTTTTCAGAGGAGGGGTCCTTTCAACAAAGCAGCTGAGGATGGTCAAGCTTGCGCTTTTGAACTACTGGCATCTTTAGCTGGCAAGTTGTTGCAGGAGAGTGAAAGTTCTGCTTCTAGCAATGCATCTGAAGGAAATAATCAGGCTGCCTTTAGTCAAGGAGTCATTGAGCTAGATAGACAAGATGGAGTAAAACCAGAGGGAATTCATCAAGGAAGTTGTGCTGAGAGTATTTTTACGCCTGAGGTAGCCTCGCAAAACAGTAGTCAGAAACCTCTTCTGCATGCCAAGACTGATTGTTCACTAGGACACATTTCAGTTAATAATAATTCTGACTGTTGGGAGAAAGTTGAAGCTGGTGTGAAGACTGAGATTTTTGAATGGGAAAATAAATTTGGGCATTATTCTAAAAAATTAGTAGAAGCACCTGAAAATTTTAGGGAGTCTTGTGATGGTAACATAAAGAAAGGATTTAGAAGGGAACAGGAGGCTGGCAATTCAGGCTTTCAGGGATCAACTTTGGCTGAAAAATGTGGTTTGAAGGACCAATTAGAGTTTTATGAGTCTCCCGCACTAGTTGACTCAAAAAATAATGTTAAATCTCCATTTCATAGGAAATCTTTTCCCAGTGCTTCTTTTTCCAAGCATGGGAATGGTATTAAGTTAGCTTTTAGAGATGATGACGAAAACTTTTTGAGGTTTAAAAAGGTTTGTACGAAGTCAAAGGCTTTTAGGTCTCCACGACGCATTGCACACCGAAGAATCAGGAATCACCTGTCTTCCAAATACTGGAAGGTTGCTCCAAAGTTGAAGGAGTGTGAACTTTCTAGATCTGGTAAGGTGGATTATAAATGTCCTACCAAATGCTTCATTATCTGATACATACTATGTCTGAGTTTGATTGTGTCTTTCACTGAAAGTAATATAGAATTTGCAGATCTACGAGTACCTCTTTACCGTAAGAGGAAAACTTGTCACAGTTTCGAAAGATCTCAGTACAACACTATAGTTAAGAGGAGGAAATTCTTTAACCGGCTTTCAGGGGTAACTTGTGATGGTGGATTCAGCAGTGAGAGTGTGTCTAATTCACCAAAGAAAGGAACAGATGGATACAACCCTGGCTCGTCTGCAAAACTGCATGTACCTAAGGATTCTCATGGTAACTAATTCTCGGATATTCATTTGTTTTGCTTATCTTGATTGTTCATTACATTCAACAGTAATTTATGTGCTGTGTATACCTTGTGAACAGTGAAGTTTAGCATTAAGTCATTAAGGATACCAGAGCTTTATATTGAGGTTCCCGAAACTGCAACTGTTGCTTCACTAAAGGTATAAATAGAGATAGCCAAATATAGAGATTATTTTTATTTCAGAAAAAATATTACTGTTGTCAAAGCTTCATCCACATTTTTTTTTTAACAATTGTATCTTTTAACTTATCACATATGACTGTCTTGTCTGGGTTTAACCTTTGTATTGTGTATTTTTACAAATTTTTGTAGAGGACAGTCATGGAGGCAGTGATGGCTATACTTGGAGGCGATGCACATGTCGGTGTTCTTCTTCAGGAGAAAAAAGTTAGAGATGACAATAGAACACTTGTGCAAACTGGTTTATCTTGCAAAGAAAATCTGGATACACTCAGTTTCATGTTGGAGCCTAGTTCTTTACTAGCTTCTCCAGCTGTTTGTGGTGGTGATCCTTCTTCTCAATGTGAAACATCCCAGCCTACTGGGTGAGCCTAACTTGATAACATAGTTTCTTTTCGTCACTACAGCTGATTTATGAAGGAGAAATAGCAAAGATTAGTTTATTGGGAAGAAACAAAATTCTCTCATCTTTGGGTTGTAAATAGAGCTTGCTAATGATTCTGCTTTATTCAGTTGAATTTTTATTTTGACACTAAAGCTAATATTGTCATCTGATTTTTCTAGGTTCCCAGAAACTCCTATCTTAGATTCAGGGATTACTGAAACCTTGCATGACTCCTCCTTGCTGACAAATCCCACCAATCTAATTGAAAGTAACCATGAGTCTACATCTTTCCCCACTGACACTATAGTTGACAAATTAACACCTGATTCCGGAGCGCTAGTTCCTGTTCCAGCCAGCACAGAAGCATTGTCTGTGGTTCCTGTGAGTCAGAAAACTAAGCGCTCCGAGTATGTACAGCGTCGAACCAGGAGACCATTCTCTGTGTCTGAGGTAGAAGCACTTGTTCAGGCGGTTGAGGAACTTGGAACTGGAAGGTATGATATTATCAATATAAGCTTCACCTTCAGACAAATAGCAAAACTGGCTTGCTGATAATGTTTACACCATGCAGGTGGCGTGATGTTAAGTTGCGCTCTTTTGAGAATGCAGACCATAGGACTTATGTAGACTTAAAGGTACATTATTTCTTTCTTCCCTCTCTAGAGACCAAGTGTTCTTTAACTTAATGGGTTACTTGACATGAGTAACTACTAGAAAGATAATGCATAAAAGGAAGTTGAGTTCCTTATTGTAAATTTGGGTTTGACCCTTATGATTATTTTTGTTTGATTTCATGAATCTTGTTTAATTCTAAAGAAATTCTCAATTTGTACCTAGGATAATATTATTAGTTTATTTATTCCAACTTTAAGTCTGTTTTTTGGTTATCATTCTAATGGTTTTTGTATGGGTAATTATGCTTATTTACTTAAAATGAAGTTCTTCTGTTAGTTGCATTATAAATATTATAGGGAAAAGATTGGGACATTTGCACTGATTCAATGTATTTTATGGTTAGTTTGGTTATAAGAGGTAGATGTTGTAATGCTGCTAGCATTGCCTAATTGCCACATGGATGTTGTGCAGGATAAGTGGAAAACACTAGTGCACACTGCAAGAATCTCCCCTCAACAAAGGAGGGGAGAGCCAGTTCCCCAGGAGCTCTTGGATAGAGTTTTGGCTGCTCATGCTTACTGGTCTCAGCACCAAACCAAGCAACATAGCAAGCATCAAGCTGGACCTGGAACCTTGAAGATTACAGAAGCCTCAGATGAAAGACCATGTGTTGGTGTCCAATCACTTGTGAAGGTGTAGAAAGGACTAATGTTGTTGTTGACAGGAAGAGAGGAAGACAAACTTGTACATTTTCATTCAATTTCATGTAATATTCTTACATCAAATTCTTTGCCGGCCTTCAATTGCATGCAGGTTGGCATTTGTAAATCATTTGATGCAATAAGATTGTTCTAACTTGAAGTTAAGGTGTTCTTTGATTTATTGTCAATTCAATTTCATTTATGAATGTATGTAAAAATGTCAAAAGAACATGACAGCCTAAACAAAGTAAAAAGAAAATATTCTCCTTGTTATCATTTTTCTATTTATGGAAGCTATTGTTCCTATTTGTTGGTTCTATACTTTCAATTTGTTGAATTGTTTTTTTTTAGTTAATTCAATCTTAATTAGAGTTGGTTTTCCTCAGTATTTTTACGAGTTTTTTAAATTGACTATGAGACTAATACAGTGTATGAAGTAGATTTGGAATAAAAATATTTAAATTCTTTTAAAAATATTCTCTAATATTCCCTTTCACACAAGAGACATTTAGGCTCGAAGCTTGGATATTGTATAAGCTTAATTTTTTGTTTATCCTGAGTTTATTTAATTTTACTAGAAAGTGGGGTGCTGAGGATCAATGTTGTTAAAATCGATATCTTAAGTAAAATTGGAAGGAGAATAAAAAATCGTAAAACATAAAATCCTAATGTAAATAAATCATAAAAAATCGTAAAAATGTAAATGCGTTTGAAATATTACTAAAATCGTTTTGATGAAAAAAAATCGCAAAAACGTAAAATCGTAGTGATAAATCGAGATTTTAACAACAATGGTGAGGATCGAACTTGTGACTTTGTGGTCATTAAAACTCTGATATCATATACAGAATCATGTCAACCCAAAATCTTAAACCCAAAATCTTAAAGTGTTGGGTGAAAGTTTTGTTACTATTTTATTTATGGATTTAATATTTCTACAGTAAATGTAGATAAGTTATCTATATTCACTCGCAAAACGACATCGTTTTGAGTTGAAAAATTAAAAAATTATAATGAGAAAGACTATTATAATCCTGAAATAAATTATAATTATAAAAATATCTTGATTTTCATCGCAAAATGATATTATTTTGGACTCACTGTAAATAATTTATCTACGTTTACAGTAAAAAAGACGAACCCTTTATTTTTTTACTTTTTTTTCTTAATGATGGACACAATCAATTGTCATAAAAAATAGTTTTTAAAATTATCAATAATCAAATTCCAGTCTCTGATTTCGTTACCTAACGAAACATTATTGAATGCACAATTATTTTGGGGTGAATAGCTTAACGAAAATTGAAATCATATCGTATCTTCTGCATGATACATTTATATAAAAAACGAAGGGGCAGGGCCCACCATCATTAAGAGAGTTGCGACTTTGATCTTGAGCTATTTTATTTACTTTATCAAAATTCAAAAGTATATAAAGACAAAGTAGACTTCAGGACATTGTGACAGTAATAAAGAATATTCCCTCTCGTTGGGGATCCTTATCCGCACCTAGCACGCAACTCATTGTTCACGTGCAGCATGCAAATTTCTTCCATTAGAAAATCCATTTTTCTTTTCTGGGAGAAAATCATTATTTTTTATGGCTGAGAAAACGAAAAATTATTATTGATCAGTGATGTGACATTTTTTTATTTTAATAATTAATTTATAAAAAGTGATTATATAAAGAGTATAAATACTAAGGGTTCCATTTTTTTGCAATTTTGACAGAAAAATTTATCTATTACAGATACACATATTTATCAGGATTCACCAATGAATCTTTATTTATTTTTTAAAAGATCTAACATCGAATCCTTGTAAGAATGTGTTTGTAACAGATAATTTTTTTTTTGCCGGAAAAGTAAAAATACTTTTGCCAATATTAACACATAATATTTGTAATCTATTTTGATTTTTTGAAAACTAATATTACCAAGCTGAAACTCAGTTCAGCAATTAACGCAACAAAATGTTTCCCAATGAATATTATAATATGCACATTTTTATTCAAAATAAGAACTTTATAAAAGCTACAACCCGTAATATTTATTCTGCTATATAAAAATGACTATTATAATCAAGTTGTACAATCATTAGAAAATTTCAAACAAATTGGAGGTTTTCTTTGACCTTAGTTGAATACCATGTCTAACTTCACTTCAATTTTCTTACACTAGAATTTTTTTTTTCAAAATATAATTTTTTATTTTCAGTTTTGAATGAAATTCAATTGACCTGAAAATTTTTGTGTCTTTGGGTTTGATTCTATTTCGATGACCTACACGGCACCCAGACGAGTCGTGTTCCAACCTCAATTCCTTTCTTTTCGTTTCTTACAGGACTCTTTGTGGCTTGTTTCCAACATTGCTAAAATAATGGAACGCACAATATAGACCCCTTCAAGTGGTTTAGTTATGTTGTTCTCAACTTGCTAAAACATAGGGATGTTCAATATTTACCACTTCAAATAGGATAAAAATGGCATTGTCAACTTAAAATAAAATATTATTAGTATTATATCATATCGAAGAGCTCACAAAGTAACTGATCTCAAAATTCTGAAGATAATGGCTTAACATTTGATTTATGAAAAAAATATTATTATTATGTTATAGGAGATTAATTTTTTCTCCTATTCATCCTTCGAAAATTATGTTGCATTTTTTTAAGTAGTGGGCCCCACCACTATATATCTATTATAGAAGATAACTCTTCCCTTATTACATGAAAATTAAAGGTGGCAATATGAGTTGAACCTGACGGGTTAACCCGCTAACCCGCCAAAACGGGACGGGTTGGGTTACACATTTCAACCCACCAACCCACCTCAACCCGCTCCGTTGGGTTGTGGGTCAAAACGGGTTGGCCCACCGGGTCAAATATTATTTTTTTTACTATTAGGTAGTATTTTATTTGTCTTAAAGCTTTTCTGATATCCAATTTTTTGCTATCTTAGTACTCTCTGAAAAAAACAAAGAAGAAAAATTTTATTTATGACAAAGGTAATCTATATATGGAGATAAAAATGAGTTTGTAAAGAATATATGACTGAATGTTAGCATAAATTTAGACTTAAGATTGGAAAAAAATTAAGGGGGAATGGAATATGAAAATAAGTAGGGAAAACTTCAAAAATCCCCCTATAAGTTTCTTCAGAATCACTTACCCCCCTCCCAAAAATTTTTAATCATTTACACCCCTACTTAAAACTTTTTTATTACTTACCCCCTATCTTGATTTTCCATCCAAGTTAAAGTTAACAGAGTTAATTTTTTTTAAAAAATACCAAAACTATCCTTAAAAAAAAGGAATTAACCCTTAATACTAACTAAACACCTTATGGCTAGCAAGAAATAACACACTGCAGCAAGAAATTTTTTGACAGTGCTTACTACAGGAATTTGGTTAACAAAAGGATCTTTTTCACTTTGACCAGCAACTCTTCAATGGTGGTTCCACGAATCAAAAAGTTTTGGGGTATGCCACAAACCCATTACTCTTCAGACTAGATTTTGGTAATGTGATGATCAAGATGGGCAGCCTTCGCCTACTAACTGGCACACAGGGTCAAATCACAAAAATATGCAGCACCATTGAAATATTAAGTTTTAAGTTTTTGTTGTGAAGTTTCTATGTTTAACTGCTGCATGTAGTTTGAGGAAATATTACAATAATTGTATGATGTCCCTTGTATGCTCTGGTGTTTTTTTTTTTTTTTTTGAAATTTGTGTATTTGATTTGAAAATCGTGACATACTTTTTATATATATGGGATACATACCTTACAGTTTCGGACTTTCAGTGTTCACCATTTGGTCATTGAGATTTTTAAAAAAACTTCAAAAAATCCCCCCGTAAGGTGTTTAGTTAGTATTAAGGGTTAATTCCATTTTTTTGTTTTAAGGATAGTTTTGGTATTTTTTTTTTATAAAATTAACTCTGTTAACTTTAACTTGGATGGAAAATGAAATTAGGGAGGTAAGTGATAAAAAAGTTTTAAGCAGGGGTGTAAATGATTAAAATTTTTGGAGAGGGGGTAAGTGATTCTCAAGAAACTTATAGGGATTTTTTTTAAGTTTTCCCAAATAAGTAATATTATAATATGAGAAAAGTGTTTGTCATTTTAAATGATAGAAAGTTATGTCATTTTAAGAGAGATACAGACACAGAAAATTTGAATTTTAAATTAAAAAAAATCACACACTTTCTCTCTCCCATGATTTTCGTTTTTCTGTGTCTATCTCTCTCCTAAAATGACATAATTTATGTCATTTAAAATGACAAACACCAAACCCTTATAATATTAATAAAATATAATTTTTTTTTAATTATTTTTTATTTTTTAGATGGATTGACTCGTCATCTTACCATAAAACTGGGCGGGTTAGGGTTTTTAACACATATTCAAGAGGGGGGACGGGACAGACCAACCCATTTTTGGTGGATTGACGGCGGATCCGGGCCGTTTTGCCATCCCTTATGAAAATAAATAAGCCCTTTGTTTATTGGGAGAGAATATGAAAGTGACGAAAACTTGGGATATTTATTGGGTTTAGGGACATGAAAAATGCGGATGCCGTGTATCTCGGTGAATACCAAAGGACATACGAGTTAAGATTCATCCAACAATAATTGCTTTTAATATTGGGTGTCCAACTTCCCCTAGAAGAGATTTTTTGCAACAATAAAAAATAATTATGTCTTATCGATAAGACATAATTATAATATTAAAGTTACTTTTTCTTTCTTCGCTACGTCAGCCGACAACCTTATGAGGAGAGTGAAAACAAATAACTTTAAAATTATAACTATGTCTTATCGGTAAAATATAGTTGTTTTTTATTGCTGAAAAAAATATCTTCTGCCTTTAAAGGAGAAGTGCATTTTCCTTTAATATTTATGTTGTCAAAATCGGCCAACTTTAAAATTATAACTATGTCTTATCGGTAAAATATAGTTGTTTTTTATTGCTGAAAAAAATATCTTCTGCCTTTAAAGGAGAAGTGCATTTTCCTTTAATATTTATGTTGTCAAAATCGGCCAGATAGATTTCTAAATCACTCTTTAGAAAGGCATCATGCTTGAGACCTAAAGCTACAAGAAATTCATCAAGACAGACCTATCTAACCTACTAATGTTTGAAGCCAAAAAAATACATAGATTGTCTTACAAGAAAATTCTTAATTAGATGAATATTATTAAATTATCACAGTGGTGGAGCCAAAACAAATTTTTAACTGGTGCCAACAATGTACACAG